CTGATATAAGTACAACTATCCCTGTTCTCTTTTGGTATATGTATGGAATACCTTTCTCCATCACCTTCAGTTCATCAGTCTTTAAGGTGAAGTGAATCTTTTGTAGGCAGCAGATAGTCACATACTACTGTTTTATGAATCTATTCAGACGTTCTATGTCTTTCAATTGGCAAATTTGATACATTTATCAAATAACTATTGATAGGTAAGGATTTACAAGTGCCACTACGTTAATTCTTTTCTTGTTTTGTCTATCCTTTGCTCTCTTTTTTTCTTGCTTGCTTGCTTTTGGTTTGACAGCTTTCTGTAGTGGTATATTTTAAATCTTTTATCTTTTGTGTACTATAGGATTTTGCTTTATGGTTATCCCAGGGCTTACATAAAATATCTTATAACTGGCTCTTTTAAGCCAGTAACGATTTTGACTGCATACATACAACTTCTGTGCTTTTACTCCCCTCCTCCCATGTTGTATGTTTTTAATGTTACAATTCACCTTTAAAAATAATTTGTATCCTTAACAAATTATTGTAGCTTTAGTTGCCTTTTAGCCTTTGTATTAGAGATATAATTTATTTATCTATTACCATTACAGTAACTAGGCTGTTTTGTATTTGACAATGCACTTTCACCAGTAAGTTTTGTATTTTCATGTTACTAATTAGAATCCTCTTCCTTCAGCTTGAAGAATTACTTGTAATACTTCTTTTAAGGTAGATCTAATGATAATAAACTCAGTTTTTTGTATGTCTGAGTCTTTATCATTGCTTCATTTTGAAAGTTGCTGGATATAGTATTTATGGTTGGCAGTTGTTTTCTTTCATATTCCTTTAAAATATTTTCTGTCTCTTTCCTTTTTAGCTTTTAACTAACATTTGCAAGGAGGTTTACAGTTTGCTATTAAATCAGCAGTTATATCCACCTCAAATTTTATTATTTAAAAATAAGTATTCAGTAAGATTTGTAGAAAAAGTCAGGGGATACATCTTTAAAAGAAACAAAGAAAAAGTGGAGGAAGGAAAATATTTGTATTCCTAGTGTGAAAAAAATCTCATTCAGGCTGGGGATTTAGCTCAGTGGTTCCACCGCCTGCCTTGCAAGCACAAGGACCCGAGTTTGATCTCTGGTACCAAAAAAAAAAAATAATAATCTCAGAGCTTTAAACATAGGCTAAAGGAAAGTTTCTTCAGAATTTAACAACATCAAAACATATACAGTATCAAACTGAGTTTGAACTTTTGGGTAAACTTTGGAAATGTTTGTTTATATCCTAAGCTTAATTTTGTTTTCTTTCTACTTATGCTGAAAGGATATTGAACTATGTTCTTTCCTTTTAATAAATTTCCCTAAATATTTAAATCAGGTGGATATTTATTCTGTTTCTTCTAATCTTCAGAAAGGAAGATAGTTTTTTAAAAGTCTCATTCCATTACCTATGAGCCCTCTTTGTTAAGCTGTTCCTTTTTGTCAATTCAATTATCCTACAAAACAAAGCCAATTCTCATATTCTGTTCTAATTAGAACAGGGAAATAGCTCTCATTCACTCTTAGAGTATTGCAATGTTTTATATATGCCTTCCTTTGGGGACCTTTCTTAGCTTACATAAGGTGAAATTTTAACTCTTCTTTCAAATTAAAAATGCATGTTTTAAAAACTTAATACACCGAGGACCAAGCATTCAACACACAAATCTTTGGGGGACCTTTCTATCCAAACTTATCTCCAACTCACCAGATAGATAGATAATTGGAATCATTTTTGGAATGAAAGGCCAAGATGACAACCATAGAAGTTGAGATAGGGAAAAACACAGAGACACACCAAGAAAGACAAAGAGAGGTACATACAGTTGTGTAAAGGTAGAACTCAGCAGTAAACAGGTCAGAGAGCAACACAACTTACACATACTCTTAACAGGCATCAATCTAAATCTGTTGATTTAGGTACATTGAGTAACATAGATGTATGGAGCTAATTTAAAGAAAACATTAATGAAAAACTGCTTTCCTTTTGAGCAATTCTCCTTCAAGAGATAGGCTGTCCATTTGATGCACATTGTTACTGTATTTACTGTCTGAGAAATGGTTCTTACAGAATCAAAGCCTACAAAACCTTACATGATACCACAAGATAAATCCAGTGTAATAAGCTAGAGGAATGTATTTGTTCTAGTTGTCACTTTATTGCCTCTTAGCTCCAAGTTCACCCTTCAAAGCACGGTCTGTTACTTTCCCGCCACAGCACATTAAGATTCTCAGTAGAGGGCGCTAGAGGGATAGTCAGACTACAGATGCTCCTTTACTTAAAAAGAGGTATGTACCCATAAATCCACTGTAGGTTGAAGATGTCATCCTAAATTGAAAATGGATTAAGTACACCTAATCTACTGAACAATATAGTTTAGCCAACTCTTACCATATTCAGAACACTTACATTAGCCTGCAGTTTGGCAAAATCATCTAACATAACACCTACTTTATAATTAAGTGTTGAGTATCTCATGTAATTTATTGAATACTGTGCTGAAAGCAAAAAACAGAATGGTTGTATGGATGTTTTTGTACCATTGTAAAGAATCATAAATAAGTTGGGGGTCTGGCTGAGTTCTTGATGTTTGTGGCTACTGCCTTGTGGGTCAGTGGTATGAGTATGAGGACATCTAATGGGGTTCTTCCCCAACCATGTGCCCTGAATGTGCAATGCCTCAGTGAACTTGCAGACTTAGCCTCATGGTAACTTTCTCCTCTGTCTCTTGACTACAAACCTGAAAAAAGAAATCCCATTCCGTCGATACCTTGAAGGGTTAATCCCAATACCTGCTCTCTGACTTTCTTGTAGACTGCCTGCAACCCTCAGGGTTCCCACTGCATGGCTACCCTTTTTTTTTTGTACCGGGGATTGAACTCGGGTCCTTGCACTTGTGCAGCAGTTGATGAAACCACTGAGCTAAATCCCCGGCCCTACATGGCCACCCTTTCTGCAGGCCCCTACCTGTGCATCACCAGGCTGTTGGTGGACTGTACTTCAAAGGGTCACATCTTGCTTGCCCAGAGACTATACATCAGGTCCAACCTGGGCAAACCAGCCACCATCTCTGCTCTGTGAGCCAAGGTCAGTTGTTCAAGGAGGTCTGATACTCAGCCTCGGGGAGGGGCTCTTTCTGAAACTGTCTTTGTCTGTTCTAGGGTAGCAGATAGAATTTCCTTGAATGCTATGGCCACTTGTTTATTAGAATTTAACTGCTCTTCTAAGTGAGATGAGTGTAGCAGTAGTAATGGTGTTTGTTCAGGTGTATAAACACTTTGCTATATACTGTAGTATTTCACATGCATTGCCACATTTAATAACACTGTTGGTGCTATTATCATCTCTGTTTCATAGTGGGTAAATTGAGGCATGGAGAGGTGATTTTGCCCATAATGTCACTAATAAGTGATCCTTTGTCCATGTGTACGGCCTAAGTTCGTCACTACTATGCAGTAGGGACATCAGTTGCATGGACTTTGTAAGGTCCATTCTCTTTAGTTTGCTTGATTCTTTCAGATTCCTTTAGATGAATTATTTTCTCATCTATAGCCTAGGGGAATTGTGCTTACAGCCTCAAGATTCATTAGCAAATTCTGTGATTTTGAAGGTGTATCATGTGCTAGGCACTAATATCCCATCTTCATAGGGGAAGAAAACGTAGAAAAGCAAGTATATACTTAATTTTTTTGTTTTAATGTTGGATAGTAAGTTCAGAGACGATAAATAGGTTAGGTGGGTAGGAAGTATGAGTGGTCATAGGTGGGGCTGTTCAGTAGATCTGAAGAAGCAAGAGCATGAACAATGCAGATACCAAAGATGAGAAGCATCACTAGGTTCTACGGAATTGACTATATTTAGAAAATCTTAGATACATGGACTGTGTTTCACTTTGGGATGCCTTGTATATGTTTTCTTATTTTACGTTACTAATGTTGTCTGGTGAAGCCTAAAGACTACTGCTTCAGTGTTAACACTCCGTGGCTGTGTACTGATAGCAGTGGAAGGAAGTGGTCCAGAAGCCTGGAAAAGTGATCTTGGAATACGATGGATACATCAGAAAATAATGTAGGGTATGTTGTGTGCTCACAATGAAATCTTACTAACATTGCTTGTTTCTACCAAAACAATAAATGCTATTGGTATATGAAAATTTTAAAAATTTTTTAAAAAGAATTTAACCGCTCTTTGTACTAAATTTCCTGTTTGACTGTAAATCAGTAGCAACATTGATGCATTAGTAAGAAATGCAGCTGCCTTTCCACTTACAGACAGGGATTTATAAAATGAAGTTGAAATAAGCAAGACAGTTTCTCCTTTGCAACGTTTTTTGTGCCCACTTTTGATGTTAGGGTTTTAAAACTGAGTGGTAACTCCTTTTACTTCTCAAAGGAAATGAACACTCTTGTTTCATTAGCTAGATCATCAAGGTAATTCTGAACCCAGAGAGATTCTAACTCACATGTGGGATGAGACTGGTGGGGAAGCAACAGAAATTGAAAATCCTCACCAAAAGAACCATGGTGTTTAATTTCAGTCAGGTCACACTTCAAAGTACTGACAGTGTGTGTTAAGCTGATTCTTTGTGATGAAAAATAATTAGTGCAATTGTGCCTAAGTACTTAGGTTGTTTAAATGTCAAACAGATCTAGGGAGAGAATCACTATCATTATCTTGAATGTTATATAAAAACAATGGTGACAATATCACCTTATAATGTACTAGAGTAAATATAACATAGGTTTGGACTTCTGAGATTATTTTTATATTTAAACTTTTTAAAAATTCTGAGATTATTACATGAATTTTTATTAGTTCTATGATTCCCAACAATAGAAACCGTATAAATGATCTTATCAGTAGCTCTTAAAGGGTATCAGAATAACCTAGGGAACTTATTGAAAGGCAGAGCTCCAGCCTACTTGGACTTGTCATATGAACTGGTATTTTTTTTTTTTTTTTTTTTTTTTGCCAGGGATTGAACTTGGGACCTTGTGCTTGCAAGGCAGGCGCCGGAACCACTGAGCCAAATCCCCGGCCCAGGAACTGGTATTTTAAACAAGCATCCCAAAGGATTCCGATGCAGGTAGTATCTTGACCACACTTTGAAAGACCATGTGTTACTGTGTGAATGAATTCCCATAAGAAAAGTGAGGTTTTGTTTAAAATTAAGGAAAATGCTCATGTGTCCCTTTCTGATATGAAAGTGGTTTTCATCATTTAGCCCCATAAGTCACCCCAAAGTTAAGTCAGCAACAAATATTTTGTCATTAACAATTTATCTCTGTGCAGTGGTCCCTCGACATTCACCTGGCTACTTTATGTCTTGCTGAAGATGAAAAACTTGCTCTGGCTGAAATTCTCCTTTTATCCTTTCTACCAGTAAGGTAAATAAAACTCAAGGTGTTCAAAAAAAACGAAAAAAATAATTCCAAACTAACAAAATAAAGCCAACAATATCACAGAAAATAAAATTAAAGAGAAATAAATTTGGAACTATGTAAGGATAAAAACCAATGTGTTCTCAGATGTCCAAAAAAACCCCAATATCTTAATAAAAGATGCTTGAGTAAAACTCAAGTTTAAAGCTAGAGCTCAAGGCAGATATTTACCTTTTAAACTCCTAAGTGGTTGAAAATCTAATGTTAGCAGTGGAGTTATAGGGAAGCTAGGGTGTCTTGGGCTGATTCTCCTTCACAGCTACTCCAGTGATGCCAGGTAAGCCTTTCCTTCTCACCCCCAAGGCAGTCACTGATTCCTAAAGGCTGATCCAGCTTTTCTTCCAGGTTGGAAACTAGCATTGCAAAACAAAACGTAAAATGTTTGCCTGGAGCAAAGAAAAAAATGTTTGTTTTCTACAGTGTCTCTTAGAGAAACTGGGACACTTTCACTATGGCTCTTCCCTGCATTCCTGGGGGTGAAGCAGCCACCACAGGAAGCAAAACAGCAAGAGAGAGGCTGATTCAGCACATACTGAGGCGCAGCCACAAGCCCAGGAGCTTCTTAGTGGCCTCCTGATCTTATCGAAGGACATTGTCCTTTCCTGGAACCTCACTGCCTTCTGCAGTATCTTTATTTGTATCGTATCGTAAGGCTGTCCCACTCGCTTTGCACTGAGAAGTGTTGCTCTGAAACTATTTACTGTGAATAAACTTTCTTGGTAATGCCACGTTTGTTCAGAACCTTGACCAACAATATGCTCTTGATGGCTGTTCTCATGGTCTCAGGGGAGGAGATGGGTAGGAGGAGGAAGAGTGGCTTCTGCTGTGATTTTTTTTTAATAGTGGGAGAATCCAAATGGGAAAATGGATAAATACATTGTCTTCTAGCTAAAAGCTAGAAGTAAACTTTGAAGGTTGGATTAACGATTTCTTCAAGCAGAGATTAAGTACTGTTCCAGTAAATATCACATCCACCTAAGAATTAGATTTCAGAGTCCCTTTAATACCTCATTTCACACAAGGGAATGACGTCTCATCATTCTGCTGTCACTTCTATATGTATAAAATAGAAAAGTAATCAGAAATACTGTGCATGCAAAATGATGACAAATCTTGAAGAAGAATCTTGAAGAGGGTGGGGAACTGGAAGCCCTAATATTCCTGAAGAATTTCACTGGGAACATCTGTAGACACCTACTGGCTGGCTCCAGTCTGTCCTGACTGCTAGGGAGTTAGGCTCTGAGACTGGCCAGTCTGATGAAATATTAGTTGAATGCACTGCTTGTTTCAAAACAATCATGTAGTGTAGCAGTTGAATGTTCTCACTGACTAATTCTCTGGAAGACAAGACCTCTGAATGTAGAGAGAAGTGTTTGAAAACATTCCTGAGACACCCAGCTGCTGTCTTACTTATACTGATGGAGTCACAGTGTGCAGTTTCCAAGGAAAAAGAAGCAATAGCTTTGGTTGATTGCTTACAAAAAGCTCCTGGGTGGTCTACTTGTTTTTAGGTTAATCAAAAGCCATGTGTACTGGGGATGAAAACTATAGTTTTGATATTCTTTACCAGAAAAAAAAGTCATTAAGTAATTAAAGTATATTAAGGAAAAAAGGGGCATTTGATAATACTTGTTGATCTTATTACCTACAAATTTTGCTCCGGAATTTTTGCTGGATGCTATGGTACTTCTGAGCGCAAGTCAACAGAGGTGGTCACCAACAATGGGTCAAACACAAATGAGAAAACAGCCCAGCATGGTATTACCACCTGCTCAAAGGATGAGCTCTTACCATTTCCAGAGTCAAACCCAGCCACACGTAACCAAACCCTGTTTGGTTAAGGTCAGTAATGATCTCCAGAACTCTCATGTGTTCAGAGGCAGGGCTTTTGGAAGGTGATTGGATCATGGAGACACTATAGCTGACTTGTTGCTAGGTGGTAGGGTCTGGTGGGAGGAGACAGGTCATGGGGTGTGTCCCGGAAGGGCACATCACATCATCCTTCCCACCTCCTCCCTTCTCTCTCTGCTTCCTGGCCACCGCAATGTGAGCAGCTTTCCTCCGCAAAACCTTTTTGTCATGTTGTTTCTGCCTGAGAGCCAGCTGAATTTGGACTATATCCATGAGCCAACATAAACTTCTCCTTTAAGTTGTCAGCATCAGGTATTTTGTCCTCACGATGAACAAAGTGACTAAAATAGATTTTGGTATCAAGAGCTGGGTCATTATTGTGATTACCTGGCCACATGGTTTACAAGTCTGTTTGTTTGTTGGATGCAGGGTCTCACTGTGTAGTTCATGCTGGCCTTGCACTCACTATGTAGCCCAGGCTGACCTCAAACTTGAGGCAATCTTTCCACTTCAGCCTCCTGAATGTTAGGATTATAGGTGTGTGGCACCATACAGATGCTTCTAAAAGCCTTTGGAAGTGGTTCACAGGAGTAGAAAGGATTGGAGATGACAGCTAGAGATGACCTAGAATGGTGTAAGTCAAGCTTTATGGGAGATTCTGATTAGAGCTCAGAAGACCAGAATACTCAGAAATGTAAATAATGAAAACCAGACTCAGGTTTCTGTTGGGAACAAGGGCTCCACTGGCAGATGGGCTAGAGGCTATGTGTATTACACTCTGGAAAAAAAATTTGTCTACATTTTGCTCATGTCCTGAGACTTGTGAGAGACTAAGATTAAGGGCAGCAGACTAATCTGGCAGAAATTTCAAGGCAGCCCAATGCTGAGGCTGTGGCATGAGTACTGCTGGTAGCTTTCAGCCAGGTTTATACTGAAAACCAGAAGCCAAAAGCCCATTTGAAGAGTTTTCAGTTTCCTCAGAAAGGAAGGCCTGCAAAGTTTGAGTACAAGAAACCTTGCCTGCTAAAAATAAAAAGAAGCCAAGTATTTTGTATCAGGACAAAATAGGAAAGATACTTTGAGGGCATCTCTGGAATCAGTAAGTGCCTACTCCCACTTCACAGGCTCAAGGGTTCAAAAGTGAAGCAGGGCCGGGGATTAGCTCAGTGGTTCCGCCGCCCTCCTTGCAAGCACAAGGATCCGAGTTCAATCCCTGGTACCAGAAAACAAAAAAAAAAAAAGTGAAGCACTGCTTTGAGAAGACAGCTAGCCTCAGGGTACCCTGTTGGAAAAAGGCCACGTACGGAATTGGTTCCCCAGAATTTGGTTCACAGAGTTTAGCCATCTAGGGACTTGAGGCCTTGGCAGCGATCATCTAAGAAGGCCTGGCTATTGCTTGAGTGGCAGACCTGGGGTATCATCCACATGGTGCTGGCTTTACAGGGTTGCAGAATACAAGAGTTGTGGGGTCAGGAAGGCTTCCATCCAGATTTCAAAGGAAGGCCTGGGAGGCGAGGCAGTGTGCCCGAGAGGGCAGTGTGTGAAGCTGTGAGTGTGAAGCCAGAATTGCAGTGGAGACCCCAGGAAGTTAGAGATCCCTGGAATAGAGTCTGCTGAAGAAAGCTGAAAGTGAGTGGAGATACCCTGAGAGAGGACAAGAGGGCTGATATTGGCAATGGCATAGGGGTGAGGCTCCCCAAGCTCTTTGGGGTCCATATTACATCACAACTTGCCCTGGATGCTGGATATGGAGCTATAGAATTTAATATTTGTCCTGCTGGGTTTCAGTGTTTTTTTTAGACAGGGTCTTGTCATGTAGTTCAGGCTGGTCTTGAACTTACTATATAGCCCAGGCTGGCCCTGAACTTGCAGTGATCTTCCTGCCTCAGCCTCCTGAGTGATGGGATTATAGGTATGCACCACTACACTTGGCATGGGTTTCAGTCTTGCTATGGTCCCATTCTTTTCTGTTCCCCTATTCCTCCCTTTTGGAATGGTAATATTTAACCTGTGCCGTTGTATGACAGCAGTGTTTTATAGGGGCTCACAGCTGAGTTTGCCTTGAGTCTTAGCGATGTTGGACCTGAACTTGTCAGCAATTCTGAAATGATTAAAACTCTGGTGACTCTTTTTGAGACAGGGTCTTGCTCTATAGACCAGGCTGGCCTTGAACTCACGGCAATTCTCCTGCCTCAGTCTTGCAAGTGTTAGGATTATAGATATGCACCACCACGCCTGGGAAATTTGAAGTATTTTTGTTTTGTTTTTTGGGTCTTGATTTGTGGCCCAGGTTGGCCTCAAAATTATGATGATTCTCCTGCCTCAGCCTCCCAAGTGCTGGGATTACAGCCATGTACCACTATGTCTGGCTGGAGATGGACTAAGTGCATTTTGCATAAAGAGATGCATACGAGTCTTCTGGGGACCAGGGCAGAATGTCATGGTTTAGATCAAGAATGTTCCTTTAAACTGTCATATGCTCAGAAGTGGGGCTGTTGGAAGGTGATTTAATCATAGCTGGCTTGCTATTAGGTGGGTACTGGGGGTATTACTTGGAAGGGTTTATCTCCCTCCCCAGCTCCTTTCTTCTCTGCCTCCTGGGCACCATGATATGAGCAGCTTTCTTTCACTAGTCCCTCCCACCATGCTGTTTCTGGCTCAAAGCCAGCCAACCATCAACTATAACTGCGAGCCAAAATAAATCTCTCCTCCTTTAATCTGTGGATGTCAGGTGTGATTTCCCAGTTATGACGAAAGTGCCTAAGACACCCTCCTTCCAGTTCAACAGGCTTACAGTTTGGACTACAGAATCCCCTCAGAAATGTTGTTACTGAAACATGATAGTGCAAAATTGGTTTTAGGGGTTAAGGGAGTTTTTAATAAAAGTATAGCCGGGGATTTAACTCAGTGGTTCTGGTGCCAGCCTTGCAAGTGCAAGGTCCTGAGTTCGATCCCCGGTACCGAAAAAAAAAAAGAAAAGTGTAATGGGTAAGTGTGGATTCCCTCCTCTTGTTTCATTGGTGTGAGAGGTGTGCTCATCAGCAAAACACGAGGAGCCCTTATAAGACCATGCTGCAGATGCCTCCTCCTGGGGAAAGCATATGTGGGGAAACATGGGGCCCACCATCCTCAGCACTGGCACAGAACGACTGCTTATACTTGAGTGAAAGAAGAAACAAGTCTCCACAATCAGTGTGACTATCTTTGGAATTCTTCATTAAGGTTTTCACAAAATACAAAGCTCAAACATAATTGTCTACATCCACCACAAAACAATCAAATAAGTGGTTAGCACACAAACATAATGATCTTTTTCATTTTTAAAAATATAAATAACAGTGTTCAAGGTTTTACAATTTTCATCTCAGTGTGTTGTCTTTTTAAGGCTTTAGGTTGCAGACCCTTCATTAATGATACTTGCATCCCACTGTCAGGATACACTGCCCACCACCAAGGAAGGCCACTGTGGATACATTCCTGAGGGTGACACACACTGACCCACGCTGCCTTGCCTGTTAAAATCTAAACTCCAATCAGTTCTCACAGTATCATTAACTTTCTTTCTACTACAAAGAATAGAAAGGGCTAAGTTTTCAGCAGCATTCGAGCTCTCAGATCAATCATGAAGGGCAAGAAGGAAAAGCAGGCTTCTTCCTGGATAGAATTGTTTTCTTTTTGTCCAGGAAAATCCCATAACCCACACAGTTTGAATGGTGTTTGTAGTGAAATATTTTTTTCAGATTAAATAGTGTTGAGAGAAGTGGTGATCTTTTGGCTGGGTATTTTAAAAGAGGTTAAAGTGGAGAGGTTATTGTTGAAAAAACACCACTGAAAGTACATCTGCCAAGAGGTGTCGTCTGGTCTGGGAGGTCTGCGGGCAGAGTAAAAGCCCGGACCTTGGGAGTGAAGTCAGAGGGAAGGCTTTCCAGCAGACACTTGACCTGCTCCTGCCCCAGCTTTATCTTGTCATCCAGCTTTCGCTGCTCGATGAGGAGCGTTGACTTCATTTTCACAAAATGCTGGTAATCCTGGAGTTGTTCTTCTGAGAGGTAATTGGCCAGGATGTCTAGCACCACCCGCTCCCTCCGATCCAGGTTCTCCTTGAGCTCTCGGGCATCCTCATGCTGTCCAGCCAGGATCTTCCTCTTCTCATTCAGAGAGCTCTGTCAGGGTAGAGTGGACAGGTCAGCAACAGGCACATGGAAGGAAGAGGCAGCTCCCCACAGACAGCCTTTCACAGGACTACAAAATATCTACCTTTCTATTTCAATTGTGGCTCAGTTTCTACTTCAGTTGCCAGTAAGAGGACTGACATTGTGAAAATCAGCTTAATACTTTTCATTGTATATTATATAATTTTCTCCCCTGTAAAGTTATTTGGTAGCGTCAAGTTGACAGGGATTATATTAAATGGGTGGGCTAATGACTTGACTTCCAGGGTCTACACTTAAAAAAAACAATCAAGAAACCTTGAGTAATATAGTGGTTCTCACAATGTGGCCGTTAGACTAGCTGAATGTGTTAGAAACACAAATTTTCACCCTCTGAATAAAAAACTTGAGAAAGGGGACCCAGAAATCTTTTAACAGGACTTCCTGGTAATTCTTTTACAATTTTTTAAAGTTTAAGAACCTCTCCCTAAGCATTAACACTGGGAATATCATATTTCTGATCTCCAAAGAAATCAGTTTCCATTTTTCCAGACTTCTCTTTCAGGCCTCTGGATCAAAAATTTAAGCAATGTTATTCAACAGTGATGCTGATTTCATATTCTCAGTTTCCTACACAAGACCAGTGCTTAGGAAGCATACCTCTAGCTAATTTACTTGATACAAATCTTTTTTTAATCCAACATGCTGATGCATAATGAATGCTGTTTTGAAATTTTAAAAATATAACATTTAGGGCTGGGGATTTAGTTCAGTGGTTCCACTGCCTACGTCACACGTGCAAGGTCCCAAGTTCGATCCCCAGTACCAAAAAAAAGAAATTTAATATTTAACCTTTCTGATTTTCCAAGCCAAAGTGATAGGGAAAGATTAAAATTGAAATAAGTAAAAATATAAGCTCACTTAAATATCCCTCAATACAAATAAACTTATTTAGGATTATCAAAAGCTCATGTGCCTTTGTCCTAAATCTCTAAACTAGCCAGTCTAACGTAATAATGCCCCGGGGAATGTACAAAGCTATGAGGCTTATCTTACAAGTTCTTTTTTTTCTTTTTTGGTACCGGGGATCAAACTTGGGACCTTGCGCTTTCGAGGCAGGCACTGGAACCACTGAGCTAAATCCCCAGCCCCTACAAGTTCTATCTTATCTTCATAGGATTCTTTCCCCTAATCAAGAGGATCCCTGTGTATGTGTGTGTGTGGGTGTGTATCTAGGAACAACCTGGAGTCACTGCATTTAAATGAAGATCCCTTTCAAAATACTGTACAGAGAACTCTTAGGCACCTTTAAAAAACTTAAAACACTTTAAGCATCCAAACTGTAGAGAGAATGGTTATCAGTTTTCTGCACTGATCATTAATGGTGCCAAACCTTAAAACGAACACTTTTCACACTTGCTTCGGTTTATTTTTTTAGAGGTTCAGCTGAATTTCTGGTACTCTTCCCCAATCTCACCTCCTAACTGGAAACTATTATTCTGAATTTGGCATTTACTGGACCACCAATTCTTCCTTACTTCCATTAGACCAATCATGATAAAAACCTAACAGATGTGGTAAGGAGTCACTGAGATTGCACACGAAGTGTGCACAGCACTTGATGAACTTTTTTTTTTTTGGTACTGGGGATCGAACTCAGGATCTTGGGCTTGCAAGGCAGGTGCAGTGCCACTGAGCTAAATCCCCTGGCCAGCACTTGATGAACTTTTATCTGATCTGATGAGCACTGCTGTCCCCTCAGACAGGTGACTGGAGACCGACCCCCTTGGTGCACCCTCCTAGTTCCCACAGCCCCTCCCAGGAGATTCCCTGGAGCTTGGACCTCATGTTCCTGTCCCTTCCTGACCAACAGTTTTGTTTTGTCTTCTTTTTTTAAAATGACAACAATTATGTTTGAGAAAGGAAGTATAGGAAGAAACTCTCACACCCGTCTTCCCCAAGTACTCTGAGTCTTAAGAACAGTCATTATTTCTTGGCATTGAAGATGCCGCCACCTCTGTCTTGGTTATCTGTTCACCCCAGCTCCAAACGAATTGTAACCTTGAGAGAAGGGACTGCATCTAATGGCCCATCTCTTGTGTGTGTGAGCTCAGAGGGAAAATGTGCTGAGTTGCCAGGCCACATACCCTTTCTTCATTACTAGCGTCTTCGCCAAGGCCACTAAGGACATTCTCAACTCGGGCCAGGCGCCCCGAGAGGGATAGCAGCAGGTTCACCACCTTGTCCAGGTCGCCTATGAACATCTTGTACTTGTCAAACTCGTGGGGCTTGCAGAGCTCACTGATCAGAGCTTCCACCTCCTCTCCCAAGGCATTGTTAAGCTTGATGTCCATGAACAGACTCCCCTTTGCCTCCTGGAGGGTCTCGAGCTTGCGGGTGAGGCTTTCTATGAGCTCAGCCTGTAACGACAGAAGAGACACATGACAGAGGGCAGCCAGCAGTGTAAGGGGACTCATGTCTCCCATCCCAACTCTAAGGATACCCCCAATAGCAGGCCATACTACTCTTCTTCCTCCCAGATGTACACAACTGCCTTTCTCTGAAGCCCTCAGTCCTTGCAGGCCAGTGCCTCACCACTTATCTCCTTGTCGTGTTTTCCACTGTGTCATGCCACGTAGCCTCTGCCTTCCCAGACGGCTTGTAAACTACACGTTTAACAGCTCCTTTAAGACATGTTCTCATTCAATAAAACAATGCCCCAGGCAAGTGCGCAGGTAGGGTAAACATCCTTGTTTTACAACTACAGAAGCCAAGACTCAAGCCATGAAGGGATTTGCCTAGGGTCTGAGGGCTGAGTTGAATGTCAGTTGTAGCTACGATGTGTGGAGCAATTACTCTATACCACACACAGTGTGAGAAACTCCACTGATATTTCAGTCTTCCCAATAGTCTGGTGGATACCACTTTATCCACATACAATAGAGTAGGATGTGAGGACTTAGTGGGGTGAAGTTACTGCCTAAGACACATGCACCATGAGGTAGGGTGCCTTGAACTCAGGCCAGTATGGCTTTTGGGGCCACCCTTCTATAATCATCATAAATTTGGCACTGGTATTTATGAAAGTAAGTCAGTCCCTTGCTCCTATTTCTCCTACTGTTTTCAGTTTATGAAGCTATATAATTTAACTCCTTAATTACAAATTGCTGTACTTATAAAACAGAGCTACAGAAAATGTCAAGTATATTTAGGTGAAGGAATGAAGTAAATGTCTTAGTGATTTCAAACCTGACCTCATTTACCTTATATTATGTCTGCTACTTCTTTGTAGCAAGAGAAATTAAACTGTGCGGTTTTTGTAATTAGCCTTTCATCCTTCTCTTAGCTTTAGGTAGCCAGATAGAAAAAGGCCATAATCTCTTCTGGTTAAAATATTTCTTTACCACTAAAAAGGTTCCAGCTTCACTCATTCATTCTCATCCCCACCCCTTCTCATTTAAGGCCAAGTTATATGGCTCCAACTGGAAATTTGGTTAGCAATACATAACCACTGTGTTGGAATATATGGAATATGATTTAAAAAAATATGGTGAATGCTGCTGCCAAGTACCATCCAATGGAAAGACGAGGACCTTCAATATGAGACCCAGCACATTGATCCTTAATGACAGCATGTGACAAGTTTCAGCTTGTTTAATGCACTCAGAGGGTTGTGAGATATAACTGAGAGAACATATATTTTAAAGTGTAGCATAAATCACAGATTAGGAACAATAGATTAACATGAAAGTTTGTCAGTTTCTTTGCAGTTGAATGATGGTGCCACTTTAGAGTCTAGCTTTTTTTTTTTTTTCCTCCAATGATAACAGGGCTCATGAGGAAATCGAAGCATTTTCACAGTCCCTAGGTGTAAACCAGGCACAGGAGGCATCTTCCTCCCTCAGAACTGCTGTTTTGGTCACTGGTTTTCTCCCACCTTCTTGATGATGCCGGTGTGTCTTGGTAGCGAGGCACATTCGGCCCAGTGATGGAGGTGCATTCACGGGAATAAGCAGGCTTTGGGCACCTTTTCAGTCAAGCAAGTACAGTATGCTTCTCGGAAGAGCTGAATAGCTGGTTGAAAAGTAGCTGAAGCCAGATGTGGTGGCAGAGACCTGTAATCCAGCATTTGGAAGGCTGAGGCAGGAGGATCGCTGTGAGTTTGAGGCCAGCCTGGGCTACATAGTGAGTTCAAAGCCAGCCTGAAACTACATAGTGAGATCCTGCCTCAAAAAATCCACGACAGTACAACTAGAGATGCTCACAAAAGGGAACTTCCAGGACTGCTTCAAAAAGTGGCAAGAAGAATAGGATATGTGTGTTTGAAGCCAGGGGAAGTATCTTGCAGGGCATTAATGGCACTGTGACTTTTACTGTAATGAATTTTTGAAAAAAATTTAAACATTTATTGCACTTTTTTTAACTACACTGGATTTCATTTTAAAGGACTGAGGAAAAAATTTCAATACTTTTGCCTAGCAGAATTGAAAGGTTTTGACAGCTTTTTATATCCTCTCTATAGTGTGACAGAGAGGATCCATTAGGAATAACAGTGATACATGGATATATTTCTCCAAAATCTGCCCGTCTGGGACCTGGACCTTCAGAGGTTCTTCCGTGCTGGTGAGCTTCCCAGTGGCCAAATTCTGGCTTAAACACTGATATCCTGCTGTCCTCTCAACCTGCCTAACCCTAAAGGCTGCAGGTGGCTAAAAACTCCAACTCATCATGGGTTATAATCTTTGGCTTTCTTAAAGTGGTTTGGTTAAGACAAAGTCAAAACAAAAGGCAGTTTTAGTAGTGGGAAAAAATGGACAATGTGTAATAAGCATTTTATTCTTCAGCTGAGGACTCTGAGCCAAGAAAAATCCAGGTGGAAGAGAATATTGCCTAATGTTAATTAAATGTTCAGTTTTCCTTATCTCCTCCTGGAAAACTGCATGGTTTTGGGTCTATGGTTAGATCTTAAAAAAGGACTTTTGGCAGCAGTGTGGTTTTTGCCTGCAAGACAGAATAGCAGGTACTAACTATCAGCAAAATTCCTGGCAGGGTGTGATAGCTTTCACTGTGCTAAGTTCATATGAAGAGAAAAGCAAGGACACTGGGATGGAAAGCAGTAGGAAAAGTAAACCTTGCATGCGCTTATGTCTCCCAACATTGCCACTGGGCAGGGTTGAGGCAAGTCAAGTGTCATTATTCCCATTTTCAGAGAGAGACAATGAAAGAGGCTGACAGCTACATGATGTCAGCCCCGGAGTTTTTAACCTTGTAGGGTCAGCTGCTTGGCTTGTCACTTAACATTACCAGACAATATCTTCATGTATAAAAATGAGTCACACCAAATCCAAAGAGGCAGTTGGCTAAGTGAAACTTGCTTGTCATTCTATTCTCAGGAAAGGCCTCCTGCTCATTCAGTGATGGCATCCATTTCAACCTCACTTCTTGAGAAGTAAAATTTCTAGTAAATGCTTTTTTGAAAAGCGGAATTGTGGAAAGAAAAGGTAACAACCTCATAGTTTTCATTATTTCTCCAAATAGACTTCTTTTAGAACTAAAAGAAGTATATTCTTCCTGGAAGGAACACAAAACATTGGATAACTGAACTGATGTCTTTAGAAATATCCTCATGATAGCTCTCTGAGGCTAACATTTTAAGGGACAAGTATGATGATTATCAACGTGCACCTGAGCAGAAATGAGTGCGGGTGAGGAGTGTGTGGAGGAGTTAGCAGTGGGGAGAATGGCATCTCCGCTGCCCTAGGCTCCCGGACCCTGTCAGGCCCAGAACCTGACCGGAGTGCTGAACAGGCAGCCGCTGTAAGCTCAGTGCAATGGGCTGGGACAGTCAGGAGGGTGTGACACAGGGGACAGCAGTCAGGGAGGAAGCTCGACAGTAATGGATGAGGTCTTTCCTTTCTAGACCCGGTTTTGGTTTACAAAGACATCAGCACTAGGCACAGTAGAACTCTGTCACAGGAATCTGATGTGTACCTAGGCACAACACAAGAGCTGGAAATGTCTGGCAGTGGGAAGAACATACATACACACACACACACACACACACACACCATGGCATTAAGAGCTATGGGCTGGGCTACAATGTGATCTCATGGGTCAGCCACATTTGCTGGTGCCATTTACTGGTGGTGCCCTCAGTTACTCGTGGCCCATTGCTGCTTATTTAGAGGTATATGAATTTTAAAAAATTCTGCCAAGCTCTTAAATATGGACATTTGGATTAAAAAGTGCAGTGAAGAAGAATCTGCGTTACTGAAGACAACAAAGGGAAAGTTGGCTGTACCAGTCACTTCTTCGCCAGGTAGATCTCTTCAAAAAAACTACTTCTACCCCCAGAATTCCCTGGGGGAAGGGAGAGGAGAATGTGCATGCATGTGTGTGTGTTAATAACACACTAGACTCTCAGGAGCTACTTAATTTGTAAATCCATTGACATTTATCCACTTCTCATCGGGCATAAACTGTTCACTCGCCCTGCACAAAATGGAAAGCTAGTTATAATGGTTCTTTCTGTAAACATAGATTAATAGGCCTTCCCTCCCACCTTGCCATCTGCAAGCAGAAATGTCCTGCAGGGTCCCTTCCTTCCCACTGCTCACCCTTCAGGAGGAGAGGACTCCGAGGACAGACAGCTCTGACATGAACTCAGGTCACCCACCTCTGGGGTCTCAGTTCTCCACAGCAAGGGGGAGAGCAACACTTGCCTAAAACTAACACTATCCTAACAATTGAGCTCTTTCTCTACACCAGACCCTATCTGAAGTGTTTCACTATTCAATTACTATTTCCAGCAACGTTGAGATAGATACTATCATTATCCCCAATTCACTAATGAGGAAAGCAGGGCAGCTCAGCTGCTGAACTGGCCTAAGTCCACATGGCCTGGAAGGGGCTGAGCCAGGCTGGAGCCCAGGTTGTCTGCCTCCAGGGTCTGGACTTTTATTTTCTGGTACCGGGGATCGAACTTCGGTCCTTGGACTTTGGAGGCAGGCAGCAGGACCACCAAGCTAAATCCCCGGCCCTGGACTTTTAATGACTATGTTAAAGCAACTCAGAGGATTGTTACGGGCACAAAGTAAGGCTTGTGTGAGCACTTCTGAAAACAGAAAAGCATCAAATGCAGCTGAGGCTTTTTGTGGTATCCTAAGATTAGGCCACCACCCGAAGGACCTGCCATAGGTTTCAGGAATTCTCAGCTTCCTAGCCACTCCTGACAGTGCTGGCCTTCCTCGCAGAAGACTTGTGGTGACAGTGGTGCCGAGGATGTTGCTACCAACACCACTGGTTTCTGCTGACAGTCTTTGTTTCAAACAAGAGCAATTCAGAACTGGGCCAAATGGCTGGGGCTGAGAAACAGTAGAATTTAGCATTCTGCCAGTGAAGATAGTAACTAGGTAAAGCC